ATCATGCCTCCCCCCTCCCTTTTCTTATTTGGATAAGATTTCAAGCTTTCTCGTCACCCCACTATTTGCTTTGTACGTGGCTTTTTGCGCCTGGGTGCCTATGTGTATATATGCTCAGTAATATAAAAATTAAATAATTAATTTATAAATATTAAAAAATTAGTTAAGTTAGTTATTTATAATAAATATATGCTATACTTTTTAAAATATTTTTGTTAATTGTGTTTAATAAAAAACTTCTTAACATGTATAATTATCATAAATATTATTTAAAAATAAAATAGATAAATATTAGAAATAGAGTGGATAGAGATTTTACGTTTATGAATAAATTAATTTTTTAATTGGCTTTTATATTAAATATTACATGTAGTATACAATTAATTTAGTATTATTAAATGGATTTAAATATGTAGGCAATGTAGCCCTCTGAATGTTGTCTACGCATGAATGAATGAAGGGATGTGATAGACTAATTTAATCAGATTTTGAATTTAAGTTTTGAAAAAGCGGTCATATTGAATTTTTTTGTTAAAAAATCAATTTTATTAATATAATGAAAAATCATTACAAATATTAATAATCGAAGCCAAAAAAAAACTAAAAAAATTATAACCTATCCCACAAAATCTCACAAAAAAAAACAAAAAACTATAAACTAAATGACAATCCCAAAAAAGGAAATAAAAAAAATCTAAGCATGCAAGCAAAACCCTTTCAACAAATTTGGAACACGTTTGAAATAGTTTATAAATAATTCGTAATTTATAAAATGCGAGAGGTCAGTATGTGATAAAAATTTTGTTTTGATTTACGTGAAATATTGTTATAAGTATTTCTAACGTCATACCAAACAAGACCTATGCTGAATGCATTAGATCTAATCAGCCTTCACCTCCATTATACACTCTCATCAGAGACATTCCAACTTCTTTAACTAGGCAAATTTATATCTAACATGTTTTACCGAAATAATAATAAAAATCTTGAGTCTCATTAATTATATTTTAAAATTTATGTATTTTTTAATTTTATCTCTATTTAATATATATTTAAAAAAATAAAAATTTACACAATGACATATAACGGATAAAATGTAATAGGAAAATAAAATTTATCTCTTAAAAGAATGTATGAATAGGGTGAGATGAGCGTTGAATATTAGAGTTTGACGTGAAGGCGTAGATGTACACATGGCGGACAGGTGCTATGCATGGACCTAACAATGAGGGCCATTGCCATTAGACGGATGTGGACTGGGAATAGGATGATGCGGAAGCGCAGGTACGTACTTAATTAATTAATGATAGGGGCGGGGGGGGGGGGGCAGCTAAGCGGGAAAGTCAAGAGATGGGAAAATTTAGACGGTGTAAGTTCCACGTGTACGGTTCCTGAAGTCCCCCGATCACTGGCCTCTGTCCACTAATCTTTCCCTCTATTCGCCGCGTGGCTCCCTTCCCTACCACCAACCCCACTCCATCCCCCATCCCATCTTCCTTCTCTCATTCTATTTACAAGACATAAAAAAATTAGTTTTTTTAGTTCCATTTTTATTTATTCTTTTTCTATTGCCTGCATATTATTTATCCTTGCATTTATTACTGTGAATATAATTATTTTCTTGACACTAAATAGCATTTCTTTTCGAACAACAATTTAGGGCTAAAATTCCTTTACTTTAGAAAATACCACAACCAAACCAGCGGAAGTTTATATAAAAACCCATTACAATAAGTGCCAAAAATGAGTATTCTTTTAGTCTGATTTATAAAATATTTTTAGCATATTTTACATAGACTAATAAAAATATTAAAGTATATCAACTCTCTATTAAAATATAATAATTTTTTAACCTTACTCCTATTTTATATATACATTTTTTTAAAAATAATTATTTATATTATAATAAATAAAAGATGAAATAGTATATTCACATTAAAAATTTAATGAAATACTACCTCCTGTTCTTAATATAAGACTTTGTTTGATTTTTATTTTAATCATAAATACAAAACTCAAATTCACTTTGTCTCTTATATTTATACTTTTTTTAAGATAGTCTTTTTAATAATGATAGTTTTAGCTAGTACATTTGATTAATAAAGATATTTTTGAAAAGATAACACCTATTTATTATAAATAAATAAATTAAATTATTTTTTAATCTATTTAAATTAATTAATTAACTCTTATATTTAAGATCAGAAATAGTATTCATAAACAGAATAAAAAAATCTTCTTTTTATCTTATAAATAAGATCGGGGAGTGTTTCACTGTTTCTCCCTCCCGCAATTTCCACAGCGGCGACCTACACTTTCCGACACATCCAAATATATATGTCAAAGTTTTCTTCCTTGAAGTCACAGAACAGAACTCCTGGTCAAAAAAAAAAAAAGTCACAGAACAGAACTGACTTTTACTCTCACTGTCACTTCAAATTTCATTTTCACTTTCCTTTCACCGCCTCAAATGCCTTCGGTCGCATGTGGCGTTGTTTATATTTTCAAATTCTTTGGGCCACCGGGGTCATTTCATTAATCATGCAACACATTTCTTATCCAAAACAAATGAAATACATTTTTATTTTTATTATTATTATTAGGAAAAATCTTAAAAAAGTGGCTGTTGAATTTTAAAATAACAAATCAGTATTGATTACTACATTTATAAAAAAATGACTACACTTGCAAAGCAAATAACAACATATTTTTATAGTAATTCCTGATTTGTCATTTTGAAATTTAACAGTCACTTTTTAAAGATTTTTCCTTATTATTATTCATTTTATTATTTAAATTGAGACGTTTCTGGACTGCTTTGCATGGGATCCTCCTGTCCACACTTAATTTTATTAATAAAACTATATGCGAAAATTATAAAATAGGATTTAAACATGCGCTTGTCCTTCTAATGTAAAACAAATTTGGAGCACATGGGATTTATGTTTAGAGCATCTGATGAGGATTATGACAAAATTAATCCAAATGGAGGAGGAGGGGATGTCACAATATCTTCGCTAAATCAAAACAAAGTGGTTTCCTGAACAGTTTACGACCGTTACATTTTTTTTTAAAAAAAATTTTTTCCCCGCAATTGTGAATGGTTCAAATTTAAATTTACTGGTTTAAATTTATTTATGTCTTTTAAAAATAGCAAAAATATTTATTTTTATAAGATGTTAAATCTAAATCATTGGATCAAAAACTCCTAGTGAGTCTCATGAAAAAACTCCTTTCCATGTTTTATAACAAGTGCTATTCTCATATTTTAAGACAAAATATTGATTTTACACTTAATTTCTCCTGCGAAAGTTCAAAATCAAACAAAATTGAACATGATAGAATTGTATTTGGCAAGGCTTTGGACTCAACTTACTTCTTGTCCAAAAATCACTTTAGCTCAATTTTTTTTTTTGTGTGCAGTTTTTGGCACTTGACTTTTTAACCTTTATTTATATATTTAAACCCCAAACAAATTTATATCAAATTAACCCTTTTTTAAATAAAAACCATATAGAAGGATAAATTATATTACACTATTTGATTTTTATCCTGACTTTAATTTGCAAAATTCAATTAACATAAGAGTCACTCTTGTCAAACGTTAATTTAAATAAGCCTGAGTTGATCAAAATCCATAATTAGCTAGGCTTGATTTTTGAAAATTTAAAATTGAATGGTTTGGTTCATGTTTGGGTTTTTTTGGTCGCTCAAACCTAAAACTAAAGCCTCGCTTAAAATGCTTCATAAATTCAAAAATAAAAAGAACCACTTACACTTTTCTTCCATAAAATGGAGATGCCTCCCATTTAATGCAAATAGAACAAAAGCGACTTTTTTGTAAGTGGAGGAAGGCTGGTCGGAAACCTTCACCTTTTTATGCGGATTAGTTTTTACTGTAAATGGACATCACAATATCCACATATATGAAAAAGGCAACCCAACATTTTTGCCCCCTTCGAAAATCCCCATAAAAATTCCAAATAAACTTATATCCAACGCCCTCGCATATTTAGCGAAAATATTACGTTCATACCCTCTAATTTGTCTACTCCTCTTATCTTAAATATAAAATCTTTATATTAGTGTGTATAAAGATATTATATTTAGGACCGGAAGAGTAATATTTTTTCTGACCTAGAAATATCTTTTGTCATTTCAGAATAATAAATTCTGAATATTTATACAATCATATGTTCAAAATTGACACAAGAAACCATTATACATAAAATATAATTTTTTTATATGATCAACATTTATCACGATGAAAAATAAGTGCAGCTATGACAATAAAAAAATAGGGAGGATTAAAGAAATATCAATGTCAACACATGAAATAAAATTGATGGAAAATCATATTATTTATAAATTTAAATATTATTTTTCTCATTTTATTTATAAGACAGCTTCAACATATTTTTTTGGGAATTAAAAAATACAAAATTTTATGTAAAAGAAAAATACATATTTAATTTAAAAATGACAAATAGATGATTTGATAGATTTTGACTTGTCAAAATAATTACAAGAGTAATTGAAACTATTACAAAAATAGTTAACATGACTTAATTATTTTTTTAAAATTCAACAGATATTTTTTATTATTTTTTCAAATTTTATTAATTTTATTCTTATTTAATACTCTTTTGATTCTATTTAGAAGATATTTTTAATATCACTGAAATAAAAAAAACTAATGTACTTTATAACTTTGTTGATAATTAATATATATTATTTTTTAAAAAATAATAAATAAAGAATAAAATTATATATTTATATAAAAAATCTAATAATATAGCTTATTAATAAAACCAAAAAAATAATCTTTTTACCTAGAGATTATGATAAAATTTTTCATAAAAATGTTTTGCCAATTTTTCCAAGAAAATACGTGGTAGAGATGAGCGCCAGGGGAGAATAGGGGCACGGCTACGAGTACCGAGCAGAACCGCAGAAGAGGCCATAGCCACCCCTCTCCCTTTCCCAGGTTAACACTATCACGTGGGTCTCCATACTTCTCCCACCCACCTTCACGCCCCTTCTCTTTTCATTTAATACCAATCCTATCCTCCTCCTTTTTACTTCTCTTGACTCTGTCTCTCTCTCTAAATATCTCGCCGGCGATGGCCGGGACTAACGCCACCTGCCTCTCTCACCTTCCCGATGAGATCCTCACCAACGTATTTGCTGCCGTATCCGACACTCGCACTCGCAACGCCCTCTCCCTCGTCTGCCGGAGCTTCCGCCGTCTCGAGAGGAGGACTCGCACCTCCCTCACGCTCCGCGGCAACGCGCGTGACCTTCATTTCATCCCTAACTGCTTCAGCTACGTCACCGACCTCGACCTCTCTCTCCTTTCTCCTTGGGGCCACGGTCTCTTCTCCATCTCCTCTTACTCCGATCCGGGTCTCCTCGCCCACCGCCTTCGCAACGCTTTCCCGGACGTCACTTCACTCACCGTCTACGTTCGCTCTGCCACCACGCTCCAGCTCTTGCTTCTTGTTCCCTGGCCAGAATTGCGCCACGTCAAGCTCGTCCGGTGGCATCAACGGCCGTCGTCGGCGCCCGGGTCCGATTTCGCCGTATTGTTCGAGAAATGCAAATCACTGTGGTCTCTGGACCTATCCAGCTTCTACCACTGGACAGAGGATCTCCCTCCGGTTCTGACGGCTAATCCGGTTACGGCCGCCTCGCTAAAGAGGCTGAATCTGCTGACGACGTCGTTTTCTGAGGGATACAAGTCTCATGATATCCAGTCCATCACTGCGGTTTGCTCGAACCTTGAGCACCTTCTGATAGCTTGTACCTTCGATCCAAGGTACCTTGGGTATGTTGGAGATGAAGCTCTGTTAGCAGTAGCTTCGAATTGCCCCAAGCTATCGCTTCTTCATCTTGTCGATACATCGTCGTTGGCTAACCGGAGGGGCAATCCTCTCGACGAAGGGTATACTGCGGAGGATGCTAGGATTAGCCGTACAGCACTAATTCAGCTGTTTTCCGGGCTTCCTTTGCTTGAAGAGCTGGTGCTAGATATTTGTAAGAATGTGAGAGACAGTAGCTTTGCCTTGGAAGTGCTGAATTCCAAATGCCCCAAGTTGAAGGTACTCAAGTTAGGCCAATTTCACGGGATTTGCTTGGCCATTGGGTCACAGCTCGATGGGATTGCCCTTTGTCAAGGACTTGAATCTTTGTCGATTAAGAATTGCGCAGACTTGACGGACATGGGTTTGATAGAGATTGCCAGAGGCTGCACAAGATTGGTCAAGTTTGAAGTACAGGGATGCCAGCATATAACGGAGAAAGGGCTCAGGACGATGGCTTGCCTACTCCGCAAGACTCTGATTGATGTTAAGATTTCTTGCTGCTTGAATCTTGATACCGCTGCATCTCTGAGAGCCATAGAGCCAATTCGTGATCGGATCGAGCGGCTTCACGTGGATTGTGTATGGAATGACTTGAAAGCAACTGATAACCTGGGGAAAACCATACTTGCTTTCGACCTCAATGGGTATGATGATCCGTGCTCTTCAACCGCTCAGGTTGCTGAAGAATTCGGGGATTACTTTGGGAGCAGTGATGATTTAGAAACAAGCAAAAGCAAGAGGCAGAGATGCGATTATTCGATGGAGGACAATTGGAGCAATGGTAACGGTTATTGGTGCAACAGCTGGGACAGGTTGAAATACCTTTCTCTTTGGATAGGAGTCGGGGAGCTGTTGACTCCACTGCCAATGGCAGGGCTGGAAGAGTGCCCCAGCCTTGAAGAGATTCGTATCAGGGTTGAAGGAGATTGCCGAGATCGGCCGAAACTGACCGAACGTGAATTTGGGCTGAGCATTCTCACATGTTATCCTCAGCTCACAAAGATGCAGTTAGATTGTGGGGAGACAAGAGGTTATGCTCTCACAGCACCTTCAGGGCAGGTGGATTTGAGCCTATGGGAGAGGTTCTTCCTCAATGGTATAGGCACTTTGACACTTGAGGAACTTGATTACTGGCCACCTCAAGATGAAGATGTCAACCAAAGGAGCCTGTCTCTTCCGGCTGCTGGCTTGCTCCGAGAATGTGACACTCTGAGGAAACTCTTCATTCACGGAACAACCCATGAGCATTTCATGAATTTCTTCCTCAAGATAAGCAACCTGAGGGATGTGCAGCTGAGGGAGGATTATTATCCAGCCCCAGAGAATGACATGAGCACAGAGATGAGAGTGGCTTCTTGCAGCCGCTTTGAAGATGCTTTGAATAGGCGTCCAATCTATGATTGATCCAAATTATGCTTGGAAGCAAGGATGAGGAACAAAAGATTCTAGTCAAGGTTGTGTGTGTAATGTGCAGTTCATCATAAGTACCATTCTCTTTACAATTCTATCAGTAACAATGCGAGGTTCTGGTCCAAATTTTGTCATGAATATAGCAATACATGCCAATACAAGAATTAGGTATGTTCGTTTAAGTGGACAGGAAATATGCAGGCAAAAGATACAAAATTCAACTTTGCTTTCATTGCTCAAAAAGGAGATATGTTTGCACAGGCGAATGATGAAAATTGTAACCATTATGTTTTCACAAGTATGGGAAAAAGAACAAAAATGACAACTACAAGAGAAGCCGGGGAGGAACAGATTTAACAACTCTGCCAAAAAAGTTTACTATGTACAAAAATGTTCCTTCATGTTTCGCTCAGCATAGAGTACTCGCAATTATGCAAACGAGAGAGGATCTCCTCACAACTTGGCCGTTCATTTGATTCTGCCCAACAATCTGCACCAACATCATCTTTCATTCAAATGACATGCAAGGGTAAAAACATTTGGATAAATTGAGCTTTCAATGTTTCATCGTTTGCCCTGGAGGATCATTATACTTGAATAAACAAAGTAAAAAAATAACAATATTATCTAGTTCGAACAAATCACAAGTCGTGAATAGTTCAATGTTATGAACAATGTGATGCACTGAAAATCATATTTAAATCACAATAATGAAAAACGCCAACTGTTTCTTTTTTATACATACTAGAGATATAGTTTTTTTTTTTAAAAAAAATTGAATTATCATACTACAAAAAATAGGCCTAAATCAGTTAGTTCAACAAAAAATTGGGCCCGCTTCGTATGTTTTTTTTTTTTTTTAACGGTGAACTACTTACAACCAGCTAACAGATCCGGGTGGTGATTGTAATTCTTCCAACTAACCGCTGGTAATAATTGAATAATATTCTCTACACATTTCAGATCATATGATTGGATTTTTCAACCCAAAAAAAAAATCACAAGTTATGTTTTCAGCACAGACCTGCAATAAGCTTGGCTAACGGGCCTTCAGGAATATCCAGCCTAGATCCCTCGTTAGCAACGGCATAAACCACCTACTTGGCGGAAAAATTTTAGGATTCAAGGAGTCAAATTTTTATAAACAAGAACGGAGATTAACATGAAAATGAGGTGAGTAAAACATACCCTTTCTGGTGGTATACCCTCCCAAGGCCTGCTCAAAGTACAGAGCTCCCACATCAACACTCCCAGGCTAAATATGTCACATTTTTCATTGAACGGTTCATTCCGAATAAGTTCAGGAGCCATCCATTCTGGAGTTCCGGCTGATGAAGCGTCTTTGATACTAGGCTCTGTCATGATCCTTGAAAGCCCAAAATCACAGATCTTCACCGTCCAGTGTTTATTCACAAGACAATTTGCACTTTTCAGGTCACGGTGAACTATCTTCATTCGGTGTATGCACATCAGCCCCCTACACCACCATGAGTGCTCATTTTATTATGGTCATCCAGCAATTTTGCATGCAGAATCATTTTCAGAGAAGAAATAATACAACCTATCATTGAAATTAAACCAATTTCACCGACAAAGACATGCTTTGACTGAAACGCATTCACTTAATGCGCAGTGACAGGGTTGTCCAATAATAACCAAGTAAATGCAGCTCAGAACTTAAAAGTTGCAAATCGCATTTATCTTCTACTGAATGGAAAATTCTGAAAACCAAACTTATTTGCACACAATATAATCATAGTGTGATCCCTCTTGGCATCCAAGCACTGATAGAAGTTAGGTCATCACTGTTATCTCCGTCATCCCAATGGCTATGGTTATGAAACAAAGATTTCTCAAGCGAAAATTGGGCAGTGTAATCTTTTTGATTTATGGGAGAACAAAGCGATTTATCAACGGGTCTAATAACTGCTAAGCATGAAGACGACTGGCAAGGATATGATTCACACCTGCATATATCTCGCAACATCTTCAGTCTTCTCCGCCAGCTAAGTTTCTTCTTTTGGCCGCTCAAATGGATCAAGTAATACAGTGATCCCATTTCCATGTACTCAGTAACCATTGACAAGCGTGGAGGCTTTGTGCACGCCCCAAGAAATAAAATTACTGCATAGAATATCATTGCCTGATCAAGAGCAGTTTAATTCAAATGAAACATGCAACATGGCCAAGAAATAAGAACTCAGTTTTTTTTGCATTATTAATTATAATATAGACGACAAGATGCAGGTTTATATAATGAAAGACCAAATCAATAGCTTAAGAGGATGAAAGTGAATACCATTTGGATGTCGGAGCCGGCTGGGAAAAAACATGAGAGCATGGACATCAGGAACTGTTGGATATGACAGAAAAGCTGACCGTAAGCATAACAAGAAGAAGATACCTGAGAATTGATATCTCATTGCAGAAATCTTCCATGTTTTCAGCAGTTAAATCTTGCTCCAGAAAAACCTTGATTGCAACGTCTGTGCCATTCCACACCCCACGGAAGACTTCTCCAAAAAACCCTGGAAAGGAGTTTTTGCTTCTCAATTTGTGTTTTAATCAGAAAAGCAATGGTCAACAAAGCCTTTAAAATCAATTTCACATATATTCCTTCCGTCCCTTATTATAAGATCCAATTTTTTGAATGGGTTTATTTCTTTTTAAAGATCCTATTTAAATTTGTCTGAGTATTTAATGCATTACTACTTATTTTACTCCTAATTTAATGCATTTGATACATTCTATTTCTTCATTTATCTCACTATTACTCTCTCACATTTATCCATTTATATATAGGGGTATATTTGGAAAAAAATTGCATTTGCTACATATTAATTACTTTAACTAATTTTAACTGTTTTCTTAAACCACAAAATTTAGTTAAAAAGATTTTATAATAAGGGACAGAAGTAGTAGTCATTCTTTCCTTCTCAGTTTGTTTCTAATTCGGGGGAGTTTTTGCTTTTCTAAGTAACGTCAGCCATCACCCCCACCCCAAAATCTTATGCTTCAAAATTATGACAACATTTTGACCATATGTTATAACCAGCATTCAACAGATGATAGATCAAGCAATGTAAACTTGTCCATTTCACCTCAAGCCTAAAGCTTCCAGCCACAGTCAACAAACGAATGGTTCATATTTACACAACAAATCAGAAAGAGGAAATGGTTCATACAGGGAGAGTGATCAAATGAATAAAAACAATATTACCAGGTACAAGAACCAGAAGAATACAAGAGCCGAACCCTTTGTTTTTTTGGGTGATAGGGTGAACCCTTTTCGTTTGCAGAAAGCTGACCAGATTTCAGTAAAACAACAAAATGACATCAAACCGGAGGTTTACTTGTCATTTGAGTTACTGAATGGGGAGAAAGTGAAAAAAGAAAAAGATTTCAATCTCTAGAAAATCCAGTGAATAAAGCCACCATGCAAAGAGAACAGGCCACGAGATATAGGCCCAATGGCTTAATGCCATGGACCTTGCTTTGCTCTGTTTGTTTTGTTTTGAGATTTCTCTCTTGCCTTTCTCATTCAAAGAAAGACAAAAAAAAAAAAAGGCAACAACTGAACGGAAACCAGTAATAGAAATTGTATCCTCACCCCTAAAGACCAAGACATCCACAACTTTTATTCAGTCATATACATGCGCAAGAGGGAAAGGAGAGGGAGAGTGAGTGCATGTTTGAGAGTTTGAATGCAAAAATATATAGATATGGAGTTGGAAAACTGTATTCAGTAGTTAAAAATATCAGACAAACCCATCCAAGAACCACTGAAAACAATAGGGAGCGACAGATTTGGATAAGATCAATCTGTTACAACTCAATCCAAATCAGAAATGCAGAAATCCAGTCCCATTCACAATCACAAATCTTGACCTTAACCCAACTTACAACCCCACCATATAAATCATAATGAACTGCACAGTGCAAATCATAGATAACGAAATGCTGATAATTGTACCAAGTAACGCAATACTTACCAATCCCGACACGTGTTCCAACGGTTATTTCTGAAAAGTCAATATTCCATTCTTCATATGGCAAGAGGGGTTTATTATTAAACATTGACGATTCAAGGACTTTATTCCATGTTGATTGCAATTCGTTCACTCCATATCTCGATAGCCCACTTCTGTCAGATGTCTGGCCCCTGTAGCCATGCGGTGAAGAGGGTAATGACATTGCTTTCTGGGAATTTACATGATCAGGTGGAAGAGAATTCAAAGTAGATCTCTCACGACCATCTCGATGGAAATTTGACATCTGTTAAACCGCATAGAATCAGATCAACTTGGAAGATATTTATGCTGAACTAAATAATCAAGTGTGATACTATAATCATTAAAAAAATCTTTCTTTTTTTTTTCATAAAAAGATACTGTAATCATTAAAAAATCTTCAATGATCAAATACAATAAATGCAGATAGCAACTATCAGATTCTCTTCTTGGTTTATCATTCATTCAACTCCAATATTGATCCGCTTTTGGGACACAACGATCCATTACATTTGACTTTTTTCCCTCATCATATACAAGGATTTTACTTCAGGATACGGTTAAACAAATATATTACCAGCAACAGAACTAGTAAATATATGACAGTCAAAAGTGCAGAAGGTAGCCAAGTATGCGGAAACCCATAATTCCTCTAAAGAAGTTTGCAAGACAACAAACTAATTTATTTAAAAGGAAAAAAGAAAAGAAAAAGAATAACTAGAACAGTGGACAAAAGCATCAGTTAACAAATGAAGGCCATGGTCATCCATGATATCAGAGCAAAAATATAATAAGATGGGATCACACAAGATACAATTTTGATCAGACACTTAAAGATAAAAATATAGGTTAAATAGAACAGTCCACTATTGTTCATGCAATAACGCCGACATACATTTTTCTGAAGGTCTTCAATGCTATTTGTATCATTTGCAGAATGGGAGAATGAGCTATTATCCCCTCGCTCTCTCAAAAGACGATTCTGCTTCAGTGTTTCATTCATCGCACGAACAGCCCTGGATGTATTAGAGCAACTTTCATACCAGCAAACAGATGATAATACATAAAATAGTCAAATAACCACCAAAAGATCAAGCACTTGGCGAAAGAAAAGATAACAATATTCACCCTTCCTTTTAGTTATTTAGGAACCAATTGAAATAGTCAATCACCTACTCACATCACTCCACTAAATTAATTCATTAACAAGTAGAGTCAGAATACAATTTCATGGCATCATACCGAAGAGGGCAATACCTCAATTACATGGCAGCTATAATTTGTGGTGAACATATTCACGTAAAAGCAGTTAAGGGAAGATTGATGTCATTTTCCCATATATCAAACAAAATACAGTTAGCCATCGTTCAGGGAAATAATGAAAACGGATAATAGTAACCTGAACCATTGACAGATTCTGTGGCAAACCCCAAGACAAATGTCAACTTAGAAAAATAAAGAAATATGTGAGAGGGGAAGAGGACAGAAAAACTGGACATTATAAGTCTTAACATAGAAAATAACAACAAATTAAAGTTTTTCATACATAAAAGGTAAAAAACTTGACATGCTACATTCTTAGACAACATCCAGTGAAACTATCATCGGTCATATACAAGGAACCAATATGAGCGGGTGTGTATCCAGAAATCACAATGAAGCGAGGACAATATACAAAGCATAATGGAAAAATGATCAACCTTACGATATCATCACCAATCTCAGGTGTAATGCTGATGCTTCTTCTTCTAATCCTTCGAGCTTCTGATGAAGATGCACCATCTGACCTATAGTACAAGGATAATTCAACTTTTAATTCATGCATATATATCTTAGTAGAAAACTGTAAAGAACATATGCCTCCAAAGTAAAGACAAGCAAACAGGAGAGATGATAGTTAGTAAAGAATAACAGTTCCATAGTCCTTTGTCCAAACCACCAGGAGTGGTGATAATTAGGGTTATGTTCCCTTTTTTTATTTCACTTGTCATCCTGTTGGAAGCTCTCGGGAGGAAAGCCCACCCAGCCAAATTCATTACTTTCATTGAACCTACAACTGACATCAACATGCAAATCTTGAATATTAATACTACAACCTTGTACAAAGCTCTAGGATAAGGTTTCACAGAATTATGCGATATTTCATGACAATACGAGTTTATGACAATGACAGAAGTGTTTAATGAGATTGAACACAGATAAGCAAGTGTAAGGTGCTTTTTTGGAGGATTATATATAAATGTAGTCTTGCAACAGGTAAATTAATATAACTATTTCAGCAAATAGGAAAAGAAAGGAATCAAATATTTTTCTTGACAAAGTTTCAAGTACTAAATATTCTGCCATTTATTTTATAATTTACAAACCACACATGCCATAAGTAAACTAAAGTTCAATAAATGTTTAATAAATCAAACCAAAAATTTCAGTGACAAGGCAACCAAACATTGGGTAGAAAAGAAATTAAAATTTTTGAGAGACAACAATTCTCAAATATTTAGTTAAAAACAAAGCAGTCAGCCACCACAGGAGACTCTAGAAAACATATATGACCATATAAATTTATGTCAGAATATAAGCAAATGTTTGGGGACCGAAAAGGCAGGAACCTTGATGCAGCCTCATCATCCGCAAAGTCTCTGAATGCTTTCCTATCACCACTAAGCATGGACCGACCACGTGCCTTAAATGATGGATGCTCTGGACTGTAAAACATTATTTAAAACAAATAGAAGAATTAAAATAAATTATTAGCAGACCAAATAATATTAATATTCAAAATTTAGGAAACCTTGCTTCTAAATCCAAAACATGATACAATATAATCCAACCAATGTGAAAGGCTGCAGTGACATATTCTAGCATGATAGCATCAAGTTGGCTCACAGCATGCATCTGATGTCGAGATGAGGAGTGAAGGAAGAAGAGGGTAGGTAGAAAAGAGCTTAGGGAAACAGATGAAAAGACAGAAGTAAGAGACTGAATAATCCACCGGATATTTCAGATTCAACAATGTATATGTCAGGCCCTTGTGACTTATCTATATACCATGTAGGCCTAGGACTGACTCTAACTGACACTAACTAACTAAACTGACTCATTTCTTTATTTATTTACATAACAGCATCACTTACAGCCAATAGAAAAACTCCCACCTTCACTGGTGGCGGAATGCATACTGAGAATTACGTCCCTAGATGTACAAATCACATGCATGCACACCCCTGTAAGATTTACACTCACGCCATGAATATTTATAAGAAGTGATTTTTATTAATCCGCCTAAAGGTTATTTGATATGCTTGGGATTTATAACTATAGAAATTATTTACGGCTACTATTTGATGATATAAGACTCATTCCAGAACCAAGAAGAAATTCATAGAGCCAAAATAATACAAAATCCGAAGAAATTACGACTAACCTGGAACTAGCTGTCCTCTGTTCAGCAATGACCTTTCTCCGACTACGCCGACCAAATGCAATTGCAATATTGGGTTCACTATGAGACAAACTGAGGGAATTGACAAAAGAAATTCAACAAGGAACAGTTGGCAGTTTATAATTTTAGAGGCAAAAATGTTTCACCAACTGTATAACAAATTGAACCTGATGAAAGAACAATTTAAAGGTGAAATTTAAAAAGGAAAAGGAGGGAAAAGAAGAGACAAACAAAAGGTACTACTTCAAGTGAAAAGGAGATGATGAAAAACGGCTTAACATAAAGTTCTGGGTGTGGCAATGTAAATCACTACCTCAATTTCCTATCTAGACTGGTATTTGACCTTAACATCAAATTTCGCAAAGAAAGGCCAGATACATTTGAAGGAGTGTCAAATCTCCTCTGGAATGGAAAGTTCTCCTCCTTTTCAGCGCTGTAATAGAAGATCAAGAAGATCAATGCCAGCCCACTGCATAACTCTAAGAATTAGCATGAAGTGATTAACATAGATGCCAGAATATCACAATCTAATAGTTCTTGAAGAGTTGGGCATTCAATTTAGAATCAATGGTCAGTGTGAGACTAACTTGTCATAATTAAGCCAACGCATAACCAGAGATTGAAATAAAAAGTATGAAAGCAAAAAATTAAGTGCAGCCTTTACACCTGTCAGGATCCACTTTCTCTGAAACCCCATATAAAGGACTGTTTGGTTCTAGAGGTGAATCACAGGAATCATTTTCTGCAGAATCACTCTCTCCTGCTGCAGAAATATGTGTCATGAAAATTGCCTTGTTGGACCGAGGTAATAATTGACCAGGGCATCGCATGAGATCAACCAGCAGTTCCACAGAATTTAATACAACAGTCACTGACATATGCTTGTACGAGTCCACACATTCAACAACCCCATCATTCGGCAAACCCTGTCAATATAAAACAAGTTGAATCTTGCAAAAAGTATACAACATGATAAAAATGGGATATTCATTTTGAACTCCCAAAACGCTTTGTAACCTCTTATTAGTGAGTTTACATATGATAGTGAGTATTGAGCACACCAGCAGAAATTAGTTCTTACCACCCTGAGCTTACTTTCAAGACCAACAGTATCTGCTAACACTTTAAATAAGATTGCTCGAGAACGGCATGAACCATTCTTTATTTGTCCAAGTAATTGGGCACCTCGATTCTCAAACATGTGGGAGGTTTCCTCTACTGCAGCTTTTGCTGGACTTTCCACATTTGATCGCTTGTAAAAATCAGAAACCTGTACAGACATAGCAGTCAACATAAACATGAAAAACCCAGTATTATGACTAGAAAATTCAATAAATGATGAATATAGGCAATGAGATGAAAATATCACACATGATAGATGCTAAATCCTGTAATGTCCACGAACATTTTAGTGGTAATGATGAAATGATTGTGTTGGGGAAAAAATTGCAGCTCATTGAAGTCAGACAGCAGAAACTGAGTAATGCGGATGGCTAAAATAAGCAAGCTCAAGAAAACACTAGGCATCATATTTAGAACGGAACTAAGGTGTAGGTTTTAGGTGTTCACTATCAGGTTCCCCAATAAAGAGATGGCACGTGTGTTTTTCTTTTAAAGCTAAAAATCACGTCGATGGATTTTCCAAAGAAGTTTCTCCATATGCTAAATTTTTATAAGAGAACATGATAGTAAACAACTTTGCTTAAGTCTTGCCCGTACATTTATCACGTTATTTGAGACAAGATTGGATGAACTTGTAATATACAAGTTTTAAGAAAGGAAAAAAGCCTTGTGCAAAATGGCGGTAGGGCAACAGCCATATATTAAGCCATCCTTAGGCTGAGAACACAAACTACACAATAAGATACAATAATGATACATACTAGTCCAGCTATCTTCTTTATCATCACAGGTGGATTTGAGCTCAATCCTTTCACAAGGGCCACGATCAACTGCTTCAACATGGATAATTTTTTATCTTTCTCCGCATCCACCAAAATGACATCAGCCTTTAGACCCTCTCCGCCCAGAGCATGAATATCATCCATTGTAGGAATATTATCAAAAATTTCCTTGAGCCTTTTATCCTGCACGTTATCAGACTAAACTATTATTACATGACGGAAAAGATAAAGTGAACATCATTTTGCTTACACACCAAATACAAGGATACAGCCAGAAAACTCAATGATAAATGTGCAGTTAAGTTATTGAACAGCATCTCAAAACCAATATTGAGTAACGCTGCAAGCAGTGCTAGGTAACTGAAAGAACTTAAACTAAATATACTAAACAGAAAAGGTTGAAATATGATAACCTTCTCACTTTCGAACAAACAAGTTACTGAATATTACTTCGCATTAAATCTTGTATATAAAATACAACTGTATCTTAACCAATTTGAATTCCCAGTCCGATATAGTTTTCCTCTCTTAAGCAGTTAACGACGCCTGTCACAAGCAAACTACTAAAAAAAAAAAAAGAATCAAACACAGGCAAGCCATTGCCTATGAAGCCTATCAAAGTATAACGATGTTTAAGTGAGACACCAAAACTTTAGCTCTTTCATGCAGAGTCACCACTCTAGTTGCGTCTCAGAGATAAATAGTTTTGCTTTTTTTCTTTTCCCAGTGAAAGAGACAGTAGGATTTTACGGCAACAGAAGACAAGACCATCAAAAAGATTATATCCAAGACAAAGAACCATTGGTTTCTCCTTTGACCATTACCCATGACATGATAAACCCGCAACATTCACTTATTGAAGATAGTGAAGGAACCAAAGCATTTTATGCTAAGGCTTCTAACACTTCAACTTTGTTTCCCATTTGAATTCACCAGCATTCATATTCGTTGAAGCCCACACCTCACCTTCACCATTTAGTCACTACACTTGATAGCAGATAGCATCTGCCACAAAATCCACTAGAACTGTATATTATTTCATGAAAGCATTAAAACAATTTACATTTACTGACTTTTCAAGATCAAAAAACCTTCTCTATATAGACATCACGTAAGCAGAAGACTTACTATAAAGACGGATCTTGAATTCCATTTTTGACAAAGATATACTAAAGGAGGACAAGCAGAAGAATGGATATTGGGATACACGAAGGAGAAAGTCAGATACAAACAAATGCAAATCATCCCCGGATGAACATGATCCATGTGAACAATATTAAAAAAGCAAGTACACTGCAAACATCTGTATTTAGAATTTTAAAACATGAACAGTCAAGATGCTTTATGCAAAAAATTTATTAGATTAAGATTGAAAACTGTAAAGAAAGCAAAAATAAAAATAAAAACTAACAATAGGAGTTCTCTGGATAGTACTTTTTAAACAAATTTCATCAAACCCAGGATGCAGATTGTGAAACAAAAGAAAAGACTATCAAGTGCAAAACACCATCACGATATTATTATATATTTCCCGCATGTATTACTCCCAGCAACATCATATGCCAAAATGGGAAAAAAAGTATCATCAGAGAAAATAGTGGCAAAAAGCAACCAAATATCTACACCAAGAAGAAAAGGCACAGATAGATCCTCACAGGAACGACTGAATAAAAGCCATTTGGTATTGGTTCTAAAAGCATGCCAGTGCGCCAGAGAATTTGTGATGCCTTATGAGGTGACAAAACACCTTGGTCAAAATGTCTAGGTGATTCTTTATGATTTAAGGTCTCTTCTTGAGAACCCAGGGAAACGGATCCAAATTTTTCAACAAAGTCTGATGGCCACCATGAAGAGTTTGATGGCCCTTGTTCTGCGGGCCCTGCATCATTTCGTCTCTCATCCATGTCCTTCTATATTTGGAATGAAAAATCATTTGGCCACAAGTCTTAACCCATGAGAGACATCAAGAAGCTAAAAGTAATTTGGTAGCTTCAACCACTTGAAGCTGGAGCCCATGTGAACTGCATGAACCAAAGTACCAGACAACAAGATATATGACGTCAATATGAAAAATGATATCAGAATTTAAAAGGAAAGGAAATCTTAAAATATTAGATTCCACATCGAAGCGAAGCATTCACATTGAGAGCAAATAAGATTGCCACTAAAAATAAAACATGAAAAGTTATTCAATGCCCTAGTTCCACCCATGTTTCAAAATGCTCCCAAAAAAAACAACAAAAAACAAAAGAAAAGAAACAGAAACAGAAACTTGTATTCTATCTTAAACCTTCAAAAGAGTAGAGAGTTGAGCATTTTCAACTCAAAGCACATTCCCCCCAACAACACACCGAGAAGTCAGAAATTAAGTTCCTTACATCAAGGATGCAGCTACTGACCCAACTCTCTCACGAAGAATATCAAAAATTAAGTTCCTTCAAAGCAAGGGGTGTGAAGAAAGTTATACTGCAAAATATTCACATAATCAGACCATTCTTGTTAATAACAAAGGTTTCACATCTTTGTATATATATCACACTTCCATGCATGTGTTATTTACAATTAATATAATTCCTAAATGGCTTCACATCCCTAATAATTTCCCTTTATTTTTTTCTTGAGACAAAAAATCTTTAACATATTATCTGACTTTTTCTTTATTTAGAAAACAACCTTTCAGAGTGCCAGAGGAAATGGTAGTTCAATCATGTCATGCATGACCAACAAAATTTGTGTATGAAAAAGATTTAAGGTAAAATAGTAAGGTAAGCTCTGCCAGATCAAGGAAAAATGTTTACCTTAGATCCAACACACAAGTACATAGAATGCTATGCTATTAAGGCAAGCACTACTGTAACAGTTCTAAAATTACAATTACTGAATTAATCACAAGGTTCTCAATAGTTCCTGATTTGAAATATATTCTTGCCTTATGACCAATCATTTTCCCTCTTTTTTTCCCCCATTTTTTGGCTTCCTTTCATAGTTTGTTTGCTTAAAACGCAATATAATAAAGTAACATTCACAACAATCTAATAACACCAATTCCTTTTATAGTTAGAAGCATTTATAAAATTATTTCCTATTCTATCTTCTTTCAGATATCTTCAACAATGACAACAAGCTTTATCCCACTAGATGGGGTCGGCTAAATGAATCGCACGATACTAATGTGCTCTATCAACAATCAAGTTCTTAGGTATGTTGTTGACCAAGAAGTCTCGTTCTCTTTCAGGTATCTTTATCTTTATTAAAATTAAAAATAACCCACATCCTTATTTCCAGCTAAACAAGCTATCCTGTCTCAAGTCTTCTTCTTGTTTCTTTGTCGAGGTTTCCTTCACATGTTCTGCTCTTTCTTCCCTTCCTTCACCCAGTTTAGGCTCAAAATAACAGGGAATGTCAATGATTTCCATTTCTTTCATTTATCAATCTATTTCGTTATTTTCTTTGATGCTGAATTCTTCTAATAAGGATCATCACCTTTCCTCCCTCTCCTTGTTATTACACGAAGGAAGCTATGATTGAAATGGGAAAGGATTACAAAACCGTCCGTTGAGCGGGGACAAACCTAATTACTTCAGACCTTCAGTAACAATATTACAACACAGAAACTGCCAATTGTCGAATCCCAAATTGGTATTAAAGCCCGTAGCATAGAAAATTTCAAAGCCACCATTAAAGAACGCGGTAAGTTTCAACTGTATGCAGTAAAAGCACTTAATTTTGACGTTCAGACTCTGCAAGGATTCAGTTTTTAAAATTGAAAGTGACAAAAGAAACAGATTACAAGTTCAACAACATTGGAATCAAATTCTAGCTGATGAGACGTGCTCACACCGAAGAAAGCCAATTTATATCAAAACTGAACTCCAGTGAGGCCAAATCGCCCCACAAGTCCAGAGACAAAATATGTATACTTCAGAAAACTGCTAATTCCCCAATGCTAAGAAAGCCACCGGAAAACTAGCATTAAGAATCCCAAGTTATCAGAAAGACGAAGGAGACATGACTGAATTCAAATTGTCAACACAAAATGACAAAAAAACCCCGGAAAAAAAATCATCAAGAACGGGCACGAAAGAAAAGATGAGTGATATACCACCGGAAGATCCAAGCATTTGAGCATAAATCGCGTATCTGGTGCAAAAAGCATTAGAATCTCAGTTCATCGACATGAGGGGCATCATCATTCATTCATTCATTGCCCAGTTATTATAGAACAGAACCAGTCAAGTTAGCGACAGGAATAGAGATGGAAAGAGAGAAACAAAGTGTGATGGAAACGAGGGAATGGAACTTACGAAAGAGAGGTGCCGGATTTGATTTTATTGGGGGTATTTTTGATTGATCGAGGAAGAAAGCGATGGGCTATATTTCAGACTTGATGTGGAGTGAGGAAGAGAAGAGGCAAGAGAGAGAGAGGGGTGGTGAGTCACGTGCAGTGCAGGCCACCTCTCTCCCATTGCCATATGTGTGTGTGTATACATGTATGTATCCTCTCACAGTTTCACACCCCTTTCCCCGCGTGAAACAAGAAAATACCCTTTCTCACATTTATTGTATCCCCTGTAAATCCAAAATTATAAATGTTGAAATAAATTGTAATTAATTTGCTTAACAATTTATATTTATTACATTCATCCTTAGAAGGCCTTCTTTTCAATTAAGCTGGTCTACGTGCATTGTTCTGAATCACAATAATGACTTACATTGTTTATATTTAGTAAAATTGATGGGAATATTATTTTTTCATACAATAAATTCTCCTTCAATTGTTGACTCTAGAATCTCATTCTATTTGCATCCTTTTTAAAATTTATTTTACTAATATTATTTATAAATTACTTTTAACATTTTTTATCAAAATACAAAACATTAAACTTTATCAATATTATCTTAAAATTTAACCATTTTTTCAACTTGATACATGTTTAATATCTATGCTTTCAAAAAAAATAATCTACACAATTAAAAACCAAAAATAATATAATACATTCAAGTTAAAAGTTTAATAAAGCGGACTAAAAAAAATCTTCTTTCTCTATCTCATTGTTTTGCCTGAAATGATTCATCATATTTTTTTAATTTTTGCTATCTATTCATCATGATTTTAACAAATTGAGGGATTTTTTTACCACCATGTCGAGGGGTTAAATAATTTAACATGTTTATCAGCTGCTAATAAATTAAATTTTGGGGTGAAATGAAATCTTTTTTAGGTCTCTGAGGTAATTGAATTTTAACACAAATAAATATCACTATAAAAAGAACTCTCAATATTCATCATCAATTTTAAAATTAGATTTGAGTCTTGTATGTTGGGTGAATTTATTGGCTTTTGTTTTACGAAGAAATAATTTATACTACCATTATTGACTACTTATTATATTTTAACATGATAACATTTATGTATTTATTTCTGTTTTTTTGGGGACAAAATATAACAGTAGTTTGAAGCCGTATATTCTTGTAAAACATTATCCAGTCGGTTTACATTAATTAATTGATTTTTAATAGTTAGTGTCTCAGACATAAACATGTGTTTTAATTCTTGCACTGAATGAACTATATATTTGTTTTAATTTTTTGAAATAAATTAACAAATATAAAAGGAAGTTACAAACATTAAAAAATACATTTAAAAACCAGATCAAATTGTGCGTTTATTTATTATTATTATTGCTAACTGCATGTGCGCCGCGTAGAATAACACCCACTGTAGATTTTATATGTATTACTATATTGATCCGAGTTAATCACAGTAATTTATCTTTTCTGCAGCATATAATATAAAAAATACAAATATCATTTTTTATATAAATTAAAGGAAACGTAAATTTATATGTAAAACAAGAGCCACAAGAAAGGACTTTCATGGTTGTTTTTTTTTTTTTTTGGGTTGCTGGTTGGTACAATCTTGGTGGGCCCCATCTGGTCAATGGGCTCGAGCCAGTTCACAGCTCATACCACGGATCGAGCTGCCATGCACGTGGGGAATTAATTAGGTCAAGTTGCTTTGCTTCTCATGTTTCCAATTCATCGATCATCCGTGACTGTTTTCTCTTGTAAGATAAAATTGTTAAAAAAATATATAATTTTTTTGAGATCCAATCTTTCTTATTCTATATTAAAAAATTATACTACCGGTTCTAATTATAAGACCTTATTTATAATATATAAATGAGATCTTATAATTAGAATAAAAAATAATATTTGAATATGATTTCTTTAATTTCAATATGCATGTGTGTGTGTGTGTCTTGTGTGAGTTAACAAGTTTACATGTTAATAACCATCAAGATGATATTTAATGTTATTTTTAAGGGTTAATGTTACTGTTAGTATTTTCTGTTTCATTGAATTTTGATTATAGATATTGTAATTTCTTTTTTTTGTGTGGTCAAATTGCAATTTCAAATAATAATTTAAGACTGCATGATAAGAATCAAAATTCTATCAAATTGTAAGGATCAACAATAATATTAATCTTATTTTTAATCAGCTCTCTCTAATCCCAGGATTGTGCATAATTTAATGTATTAAAGATTTTTCAGGCCAAAAAACGGATTGATGATTTTATATATTCAATAACGTTATATTTCAACTCTTCGTTATAAAAACAATTAATCGTTAGATATTGAATAATATTTTATTAAATGGTTATCGAAAATCTTACAAGATTTATGTATTGTGATTTTGTGTATGTAACGAATATTATTTCATGTAATGATAAATTTATTCACCAAAGTCGAGTAGTATTCTATAAGAGTACTTAATAATATTACTCCTCCGATGCTAATTATAAAATCATTATACTAATACATATAAAGATTTTATATTTAAGACCGAAAAAGTATATCACAACTTATAAAAAGAAAAATTAAAATATCACATTCAGCGTAACATGACGAAACATCGTACACTCAAATTTAATGTTGAAGATCCAATCGCAATTCAATTTCTTTTATTTCTGGTGGGAAAAAATTCAGTATGACACTATTATATGTGTATCCAGAAAATAAAAATACCGGGAAAATATAGCAATTCATACAATTAGATTATGAACAGAACCATCGATTTTTAAAATAAAGTAAAAAATAATATAGCTTGAAACGGAGACATAGATTCAAGTTGCTTAGTTTGAAAAGGATGGAAAATTCTTGGATACAAAGAAGAATAAAATTGCGACGAATATGCTTTTTCTTCCACTAGCACACCAAGAAAAAGAGATGAAACCACAGTAAGTTGACAATGATATTTTAGAATTCAACATAAAATTTGACTATTTGATTTGAATTTTTCAAAATACTACGTTGAATACATAAATATATTTTTTAGATTAATATGTTATAATTGTACCAAACCATGTGGTCATGATGTAGAAACTTTTGCAGCAATAATAGAACTAAAAAAAAAATGATGATGGGATAGAATGAGAAACAAATAATATCTTAAGAGATGATAGCGATTGGGATTTTCCAATGAAACAAGTAGGGCTTAGTGATAATAATTTGAATATGAAATTATTGAACATAATGCCATGATATTTACTTTTGGGAGGGAAAATATTCGAAAGCAACACAAAGTCAAAAGGAGTCAATTAGCTTTTATTTTTTCATCCTTTTTTCAAAAATCGAACATGTTGATTTTGACTTTGCCAATTAATAAATTAATATTTTAATTTGCAATTATAATATTGCGAACCAATCAAATAAATTGGTTTACTGTCCCCCAGCTTTTTTCGTGCGAGTCAAAAGCTTGAAAGGGAAAATCACTGAAAATTTCTTATTTAAAAATCTTGCTGACCAGAAAGACCTGATGTGTAATTTTTTACGATTTTATACATGAAAAGTATCAATACTCAAATTCAGAACTACTTTTAGTAATACTCAATTCAAAATATAAGAGATAATTAATTCACTGATATGAAAGAAATTAACTCAATTATTCTTAATTCGTGATAAATGTGTGTTAATTTTTTTAAGATACTATTATTTTAACAATTCTTTATATTATAAATTATTCATTGATAAAAACTCACTTTAGCATGTATAGTTAATAGGATTGTTCAAAAAGTATAAATTTACAAAACAAAGTTGATTGAATTTTTAGATTTAAAATCAAGGCAAACCCCATCGAATAGTAATATTCATTTTGAACCACCTGGCCATCATCACTCAGAGACACCATCAAATATACACTGTATACTCTAGTGGTTTGTTTTTATGGACAATAAATGAAGAGTATAATTCTATGTTTATATTAGAAATTTAATAATGTAACTTATAAATATGACTAAAATAAATACTTTCTCTCCTCCTATAAATATACCCAGAAGAATACTATAAATTACATCGTAATATGAAAATATTTTAAATTCATATAGCGTTTTGACCAAACAGGTTCTAGAAATCAAGGGTTTTTCTCTTAAAAAGGACGCTTACGGTAGCGTTTTAAACCAAAATTAGGGTAAGTTTTCTTCATTTATCTTTCTTTAAACCTCTGGCCAAACTTATGCTTATGGCAAATTAGTGTATCATTATCAAAGATTCTTTTCCATAAAGACAAAGATAACTAGTCATGATATGAAAACAATGAAGTTACTTGTCCACTTTCATTTCACACTCTGCATTGGAATAATTTGTTTAATTAAGTTTTAATTAGGACATTAATCTCTCTAGTTTGTCTTCTAGAAACAACACGTGGCAACCTATGGATAATTTTGTGCCGACGTTTTGACTAATTTTTGTCCCTTCACTCACCCTAAGCCAATCACGCAACATAATATACTTTTGGTCAAAAACAATTACAACAAAACAAAATTATGTGTGAAGGAGAGATAAAAATATAATGAGTCATATTATACAAAATTATTGAATTACTTATTATTTTTTTGGCTCGAGATTAATTACTTTTTAAGTAACTTGTATTATGAACAATTTTTTTTTTGTAGAAATAACTTATAGAGAAGTGTTAAATAGTAGTAATGCTGTTTAAAATTCTGGGATTTTGACTGCAAAGAAATGAGATTCAGACGAACCCATCAAAGGATTAGGTAAGCTATCGCTGTCATTTTAGGGTTTGACAAGTTAAGCATAATATATACAGATGAAGTCATATACAAATTTATACATAAAATAATAATTTGTCCATTAAGTCAAATAAACTAGCATTCAAATTCACGCATTTAATAATACATCTATGCTGAGTTCATAATTTAATAATTTGTCCTTTTTAAATTAGCACGTCACTCTATTCAAATACTTTGGTCTTCTTTTGCCTCAAAACGAGGTCATCCCAAAGCTTTCAGTCTACACCTTCATTTCTTAATTAATGCTCTCATTAAAATGGAATATTATACATCATGTATTTATAGACTTGTATATATATAATCTTTATGAGCACACTTGATAAAGAATATAATGAGCATATGCTTAAAAATCTAGTAATCAAATATTCCACGCCTAGCTAGCATGAACATGATGACTTGATGTAGACATTATCTAGGCTGCTCAAGCTATACATATTATTCTAATTCAATTATTAATTGAACCTTTGGTTTACTTTATATGATAAAGGCTTGAAAGCTGGTGTACAAAAATTATACTACCTACGGTCCTAATTATAAAACCCAGTTGACTAATTTAGAAAGATTAAGGAACTTAGTTAAGTTAGTTATTTGTAATAAATAGGTGTTGTTTTTCCTAAAATATTCTTACTAATCAAGCATACTATCTAGAACTACCATTATTAGAAGAACTACCTTAGAAAAAGTGGATAAATATGAGAAACAAAATGGATTGATGTTTTATATTTAGGATCAAAATAAAAATCAAACAGGATCTTATATTAAGGATCGGAAGTAGTATTAAAGAGTTTCTACTCTTTTTTTTGGATTTTGTTTTAATGTTTGTTGAGACACTTGTGTATATTGCGTATCCATTACTCTGGGAAAAACAAAATATATGACATCTGTATCAAGCATCTGCATTTCATTTTCGATACATTAAAATTATTAATTATTAATTTATTATAATAATTTGACATTATTAAGCCATAATGGGACCAAATAGAAAACCTTAAATTACGCTCAAGTGTAGTCTTTGTATTTTTTTTATTTATATAAAGAACCATGATTAAAATATATGAACTGGACGAATTTATAACTAATAGCTAGACTAATTAATACATGTATAAATTCAATTGAATAATCACAAACTTATTTGATATCCATAATCATACGCTTCCAATTGAAAGTTTTGACAACAACGATATAGTTATCTATATATAATTCATGTTAATTATGTGTGTGTTTGCGTGTGTATCTAAAATTTGTGGAGTTAATTTTGTATTAGGATGCGAAAGAAAGAACAGCAGAACAAAGACAACTTTTTTTTTCCCAATAAAAAAAGAAAGACAGTTGATCCCATTCATTCGTAACTGTATACTATATATTATTTTCGACAAAATAATTAAACATGATTCACATTAAGTTAATTTAACAAAGATGGGGCATAAGAAGAAAATCAAAATTAAAGATGGGGCATAAATATAATAAATTATTATGGAAAAATTTGACAGGCACAAACATACAAAATAGAGGAAAAGCTATGATTCGTGAACATATTAATTTGCTCGTACAAATTATTATAGTCAAGTTGATTTTGTTGCTTTGGATGAGCAAAAGAAAGGTGGGAGATTCTTCCAATAATTTTGCCTATAAAGAGAATTCTATACATGCCTTTGACTTTGTTTCGGAATCATTTCCATGCACAATGCCTTTTCAACGTTGGAATTGTTTTATTAATATTATCTTTCATTTTCAAACTTTTATTTTAAATAACTTTTTTATGAAAAAGGTAAGGAAAATAGCGGTTTATATCCCTTTTAACGCTTTATTAACTGTGAGATTGTGATTTCAAACTTTCTATGAAAAAATATTAAATATGCATGAGATATGTCTCGAAAAATATATTTTTATTATCAATTACCAGAATCTTTAACAGGTACATATATAAAAAATGTAAATATATTTTTTTGGGGAGCATGAATATGAGAAGAACTACAACATCGCAAATTATAAAATACAAATGATTTTGCTGCTTACGCCCAAACTTCTTTTATGACCAACAACACACCCAAATTGAAATAACAAAGCAGGCCCATAAAGCGGCATCGACCCAAATCAAACCAAGCCCAAATAAATAATGACTACATGCTCCAAGATGAAGTTCGATTTGATAAAAGTGTCAGATTTTTGTTTTGTTTTTGCCTTCGATATAAATGTAAGATTAAGTTTTACCCTAAATAACAGATATTAAGTCTAACAGAAAGGGTTAGTCTCTCACAATATGGTGAACCAATGTTCAAATCTTCGCTGAAAGAGATGTCTACCTTTGGCATCTAACAGCAATAGGAGGATACATATATTTTAGGGGAAAAAAAAAATTTTACCCTAGCAAAAAAATGAAAATATATATTTGAATGAGAAGAGAACCAAAAAAAAAAAAGAAAAGATAGAGTAAAGGCCAAAGAAGAAATAGGACATGAAGAAATTAGTACTGGTGCAGGGGGTTGATGAATAATCAGAATTGACATTATGGGATAGGAAATAATTTTGTCTTTTTTAAATTTATTGCGCGCTAGTTCTTTGCACAATGTAACAGCCTGGCCTTTTATTATCACGCGTTTGACTATGGAAAGTTTATTGTCGTCTCTGGGGAAATGAACTATTGGCTTGTATTAGTGATTACTTTTCTAATCCTATTTATAAATTATTTTCAACATGTTTTATATAAACTAAATTTTTTTTTAAACTTTATTAATTCTTATTTAAATTTTAATAACTTTCCAAATTTATCTCTATTTAATATACATTATATCTCATGTAAACAAAATAAGCACAATAGTAAATGAAGGGTAAAATAGTACATTCATACAAATTTTTTTTAGTGTTCTATAAATAAGACAAAAAAAATATCTTCTTTTTCTGCTTTATAAATAGGACTAGAGAAGTACCTACACAGTAAAAAATTTTATGCTCTGCAGTCAGACCGTTTCTACCGCGTCAATTTAAACAATTCACTGATTCATTATATAATTATTTTATGAATTTTCTCATAATATATGTTTTTTTTCCTTTTTAAAACATTTTTTAAGAAAAAATGGAGCAAATGTCTGTTAATTGTGTGGAGTAGAACCCTATACTTGCTTTTGACAGAAAATAATTTTGCACAATTTAATATTTTTAAAACTTAATTTTTAAACTTTGTTCACGACAAGAGCCCCACCTAGTCAATTCTTGAACCTCTAAGGTTATTTACTCATTTTTCAAATAAACATATTTCTTAGACTAATATTCAATATTCACGTCAAATCATAATAAAAATGAATTTTTTGTAAACAATTATTTTAAAGTAATCCAAAACATGTTAGCATATTTTGCATGACATTATTAACTTTTTATTACTAATTACTAAAGTTAATCAATATCAATAATCACGTGATACAGTGAATATTGTTCTATTTAAATATATATACATATATATATATATATATATCCATATTCAAACTTTAAAATGATTAAACAGAGGAATCTTGAACCTAAGCTGCTTATTAAAAAGCGTATAGTTGATATGCAACTAAGCCGAAAGCCATTAGAATCATTTGTCACTATCCAAACTTCAATGCAATATCATATCTGAAATAAATGTAAAGTAAACTTTGAATAATTCGGCTCCAAGGTCCCCCCACTCCCCAAAAAAAAGACAAAGAAGAGAAAGAGAATAATTCGACCCAAACAAAATTTCATGAAAGGTGCTAACCAAACCCAGTTGGGAGGAAAATGAAGGAATGAGGACCACTTTTGGATAGAGGCAAGAAGAAGCAAACCCAATATTCATATTCATCCAGGTTTCACATTTATTCCTTTCTTCTTCTTTTTTTTTTGCTAAAGCATATATGTTCTTTTATTAGAGGCTATCTTATTCAAAACATTGTTAGACACTAAATATAGACACTTTTTCTAGTAGGAATTCAAATCTTGATTTCTATGTTGTAAGAACCAACCCTTTCCGTTAGAATCAACCCCTATTGATTATTCTGTTCTTTCCTAATAACAAAAGCAAGTCTAAGCTTGAGTACTGAAACAAAATAAAAGGGCAAAAGGCTGACTACCTTCAACAATAGACTTGTGTGCGTTGTAAATACGATCTTGGTTCTAAATATAAAAATTAATTTGTAGTGCTATAAACTAAACTAGCTCTTGTATTTAAATTGGAGACAGCACGTTCGCATTCAGAAGGCATAATTTCAGAATAAAAGCCATGTTCTGAGTTTGTGTAGGTCCTTGAAACCAAGCCCTCTATTTTCTTTAGTTCCAAAGCAACCACGTTGTAGGCTTCTGGAGTCATGATGCTCATTCCACAAGAGAAGGCTCTGCTGTATTTTTAAATTTCCTTTGTGACAGAGACACTCTGCCTTAGCCTTACTTTCACATTATTAATTTCTGTGTAACGGCATAGAGCTGTGTTCCCCTCTCTCTCCCACCTCTTCACAAGATCCCACACACAATGGCCCACCCCATCAGTGTAATCCCCCAAAAGTTCATTTTGAGCACAGCCTCTCTTATTAAATTCACTGTCTTTTCAAAAATTTAACACTACTACAAGGAATTGCCTCTCAAACCGCACAATAAATCGCGTAGCTACAGATTTGTTTGCCCTTTTAAACCCCAACATGGCTTTCTTTCTCTCATTGTGGACTCTCTTCTTTCTCTTCTTTCCCATCAGATTATTTGCCTCTGCTTTCTGGCTTTTCCTTAGCAAGAAATTTAGTGGGTCGCTACATTTTCACCAGCTTCTATCTGTGTGTTGGTGATTCTTTGCTCTTGTAAATGCCAATGACTGGTACGATCGGGCTTGCTTGTTTCTTTATTCCTATGCCTCGCGCCGAATACTTCTTGCTCTGTTTTCTTGTCAAATGAATCCTACGATGAAATTTTCCGTATTCTTTTTATGTGTTTTGTTTTTTCTTCGTTATGTCGGCTGATTTATTTGACTGTAAGGTACGATAAACCTGGGGATTAACATATTGAACTGGTTTCTTCATGGGGTATATCTTCTGTCTTTCATACCTCTACTCTTGATATTTGATGATATGCGCGCAATTCAAAACACTGAGCTCATCTCTCATTAGCCAAATAGTTATTTGGTCTCTGTTTCATTAACTCTCTCACAAATTGCTAGTCCACAAGATAATCAACCGACTTAAAGGACTCTGCTTTATGATAGATTCATATATCCCATTTTCAATTCTACATGAAGTCTAATTATGTGCTTTAGTGAGTAGGGTGGACGAAGCCAAAATATAACAAAATCCTTTTGAGTTTTGAGCAGTTTAGAAGATCCTTCTTTCATTAGTTCAGTTCCATATTATACGCATCAACAGATAAAGAACTGGAACTTACCATGTTATATTTGATTTTTCTTTCCACTCTTCAGTTCATTTGAGTTTCAATTTGATTTGACTGTGGTGTTTTGCATGATATCAGAGAAGTCTAATGGAAGAAAAGCAGTTAGATTTTAATCAACCACTTTTATCAGTGAGGCGGTTCTCACCAAAGGCGGCCTCTGAAACTGAAAAGAAAAGCAGAAACAGAAGCAATTCATCGATCAGATTACCTCCTCTTCCTGCTTACAAATCAGATTTGAAATCAGGTCCAGTGAGCCATCCTGGAGCTGTTCCTTTCACATGGGAACAGACTCCTGGGAGACCCAAAAATGAAGGAAAATTGCCAAAACTTGATATCGAACAGCCTCCTCTTACTCCAAATCTTCCTCCTGGGAGGGCTTCAGTTGAACATCAAGCTTCTGGTCAAGTTTCTAAAGGAAGTGCTATTTCTAAGAGTGCAACGAAACTGAAGATTCTAAGAGAGGCTTTGCAGGAAACGGATAGTTCTGATTCAGATAATGGAGATGAGGCCTATCAAGATGCAATTGATAAACTTTCCACAACTGAATCATTCCTCATGAACTGCAGTGCAAGTGGCTTGAGTGGGTTGGATGATCAAGAAACACAGCCATTTGGAAGCTTCTCCAGTGATCAACAGGCACGTAACTTCATGATTGGTCGGTTCTTGCCTGCAGCAAAGGCAATTGCTTCTGGATCACCTCAATATGCCTCGAGGAAGCCACCGGTTGAGCAAGAAGAACCACGACAGGTTAAGGAAGTAGTACTACTAAGCAGACAAAGGTACAGTCCGCTTAGGCAAATTGTTCTGTCACAACATGCTCAAGATATTGGTGAGGGAGAAAGTGAGGATGAAGATGACAATGAAAGTGATGGATCTGAAACCAACGCAACCAAAGTTTGTGGGCTATTTCCTCGACTCTGCTTTTTGAATCCATTACCTGAGTTGAGAATGGAGGGCAGGGTGCTAAGTTCTGCAGCTTATGGGATGCCGGCCAAGTCAAGCACTACTCATAATGGAGCTAGAAAAGAGGTACTAATTTGTCTCAACCTGCTTGTCTCTGTCTTTTGTCATGGCTTCATGTAGAGTTATTATTATCTATTGTTTACCTGTGAACATTGCAGCATGCTAGAACTTCTCACAGGGAGAATAAATCAGTATATTCCCAATTTGGCTTTAGAGAAGAAAGAGCAAAAAATGGCATTGATCGACAAAGAAGAGGTGTCAGCAGATTATCAGCCTGTGAGAGTATTCAAGGTGATCTTGGCCGTACAAGCCCGGTGGTTGAGAAAACTCTGTATATAGATTCTGTGCATAAAGTCAAGTCACATTCAAATTCATCTTCTTCTGAAATGAAGGGTCAAACCAATCACACATTGGATCCTTTTGAAACTGCAATCCAAGATAGTGGCAAATGTAAGAAACCTTCAATTGTGCCTAGAAGTTCAGAATCTCTTGATTTGCCTTTTCCCTGTTGTCTGACAAAGCCATTAGAACACGAAATCGACTTGGGTAAGAATTTATGGGTTTCAAGTCCAAAAGTGGCTCAATGCAAGAAAACACTATCAGATAATTCAGTGATCAGCAATCAGGAGAACTTTGATGGTCCAATTCAGAATCCTGCACCATGGAGAAGGTCAAGATTGGCCGGCGATGATTTAAGGAGCCTACTTGCTGCTCATTCAACTGATCAGGAATGCTTGAAAGGGATCAATAATGGAAAAACTGACCCAGAAAATCAATGTCAAAAGAGACCAGACAATCAAGAAACAAACAATTTGAGGCTTCCTCTTTCTCTTCCTTCACCAAAAGCTCCATCAGAGTCTTGGCTCAGGCGAACCTTACCTACCATTTCCTCAATTAATGTTACTACTAAAATTCCAGCCCCTCTTCGAATTGCCAGTAATACAGCAAAGCATGATCCTAAGTGGGAAAGAATTGTCAAATCTTCTGAGGTATTAAATCTTCGTTTTAGTTTCTCCGATGCACTTGTGTGATATCATTTGTGGTACTACTGATGAGGGGTTTTGTGTTTTGTATAGGAACTACTAAGAACAATTCCAGAAGATTGAAATTTGTCTGGAGAGATATTTAATGATGAACACGAACTGATTAGCTATTTTTTTGGCTGAATAAAGGTTTGAGCACTTTTCACTTGGTCACTGTATTATCTTACATGGTTTTGCTTCTGTATTCATAAATGGGCACATATATTTTTAAAAAAAAAACTGTAAATTACAATTAGCTTTGGTTCTTCATCATGTAAAATGTAAATGTAGCAAGATGTTTCAATTGAAAATCAATATATGAATATATATATATATGTGTGTGCGCGCGCGCGTGTAATAGGAGTAGAATTTATAGAATACACTATCTATGCATCAGCTGTAAATATGATAAGTCAATTTTACTATTTAAAGAAAAAGGGAAAGCGACCCATAACTTTAAATTTGTAAAATACTAACTCCGACTCCATCTATAAGAAATAAATAATATGATATCGCTTTCACTGCAACATTTTCGTCATATTTATTCTTCAATTTTTAAATGCTGAAAGTTAGAAAAAGAATGTATAATGAATATGAAAAAATGTTTAACTGAAAATGATTTTGACTGTGGCTTAAAAAAATTTCAATTTAGTTTTTGAAATTTCCAACTTAAAATTCGAAAACTAAATTATAATATAAAGATATAAAAATGAAAAAAAATTAAAATTCATTGAAATAAGAAGTCAAACTTGTATTTTAAACATTTTCTGATATAAAATCGAGCAATCTTTTGAACTGGCCAACATCTAATACCCAATTTAAATTTAAATTATTTAATTTATTCTTTTTTACATTAGTTTTCGAAATTTAAGGTATTTTGAATAATATTGAGTGCGCAACAAGGTTAGATTATTATTCAACCAAATCTATATTATATTCAACTATGTTATGCTATAAGTCGATAACTAATCATCGTGTAATCTATCCTCATCTCTAAAAGATTAATTGTATTAATTCGCAGGACATACATTTTGTGACCTCCTGATATACAGAAGAATATTGATTTTACATGATTTGATTAGCCTATTTATTTTAAGTTACTAACTTATTCCTATCTATGTATATTACACAAAGTATGAAAAATGGGTTGACGATTTATAATTAATTTGTACTATAAGGAGTTTTCTTAAGTACTACCTCCGGTCCTAATTATAAGAGCTATTTGACTAATTTAAAGAGATTAAAAAAGTAAGTTGAGTTAGTTATTTGTCTTAAGTACTACCTCCGGTCCTAATTATAAAAGGAGTAATTGAATTTATGGTCTACTATATAATCCTATAAATGCTAATTAAGTCACCACGGATCAAGTCAACGCACATATAATCTGAAAGTTTTAAACCTGAAGGCTTTAATTTGTAATCAGCCGGCAATTAATATTATATTGTCATTAATTAGTTAATTGAATTGTACTAACTAATAAAAGTACTCTTTCAATCCATAATCTAAGTCACTTCTAAAAGAATAACATGTATTAAAATATAAGTTATTACAATTAATGCTTAAATATAACTTTTGTATATTTTTATCTCTCATTCACAATTTCAATTATCATGAATAAAGTTGAAAAAAAAATTAAATTTGAGAAGGAGTCAATGATTTAACTACAGTTCAGTACATGGTGAATGTCGTCGCTATATAACGTCAACTTCAAGGATTGATCTCTTGTTTCAAAGACTAAGGAAACAAGAGAGACATTGAATAGTCAAAGAATCTTGGAGAAGATGGCGAGAAAAATGGCTATGGGAGATGAAGAAGCTGATCTGAGTAATATTATTATTCCTCTTCACAGCTCTGGTCTCCTATTCTTGCTTCTTATGGTGTTCACTTCCCTGCTGATTGTACCACTGGTTTTGCTTGCTTGTGCTGACGGTGCTGATCAAAACTCCTCCCAGAACAAAGGTAAAGGAAGCGATTGTGGGGGCGGAGCCGGATGTGGCGGCGGCGGATGTGGCGGCGGCGGATGTGGTGGAGGCTGCGGTGGTTGATAATTTTATGGTAACTATTGATCGATCATCTGAATATTGTTGTACTCGATAATTTGCTGTTGTGTTTTTGCTTTCTGCTGTGTATTTATATATATATATATATATATATATATGATTATATGTAGAAGAATTTGGATCGATCAAACAGTTGACGACGACGATACATGGATCACCACTATATATATATATATATATTAAACGTTCCGTTTCTGTTGTTTGATAGATCAGATCCCAACAGAAACAGATAGGAGGAGAAGAGAGTCGTCAAAAACCAAAATGATATGATGGGGTTTTCAATTGGGAGCTACACACACACACACACACATAAATATATGGTAGTGGCAGCATTCGGTTTCTTGGGGATTATTGCCAAACTGGTTTCCCTCTCGTACTTCTTGTGCTAACAAGAAGGGAAATCAGAAATTGGGCGGCGATGGCAACAGCGGAGGAGGTTGCGGTGGCGAAACACTCGTCTGAACTATGTACTCATCTCGTCTTCATTATATTCAATTATTAATATACCATAACTCACAGTCGAGTAATCTATAGTTCAGTTATAAAATAAGACAACATATTCACAGGATCATACATTTTATAATTTCGTGGTAATAATATACAAAAGAATATTGATTTTTCATTATTAGAGTAGTCTATTTTGTTAATTTTAAGTTGACAACTTATTCCTATACATCATATATTTAACGGTTTATAATTAGCATTAATAATGACTTCGGAGTACTGTGTTGTATATATTTTCTTTTTGCCAACGCACTGCGTTGTATATATACAAACAAATATGGGTTTTAAATATTATATATATACTACCTCCAGTTCTTAATATGAGAGGTAGTTCAACTTTTAATTTGATTCTAAATATAAGATTCCAATTTACTTTATCTCTCATATTTATCTTTTTTTTAAAAAATAGTTTTTATTCATTGTACATATTAAAAATTTCATCAAATAAGAGTTTTAGCTAAGATGTGTGATTAGTAAAGATATTATAGAAAAGATAATACTAATTTATTATAAATAATTAATTTAACAAATTTTTTTAATTAACTAAATTAGTTAACTAACTTTTATATTAAAACACGAAAAAGATATATGGATCGAATTTATGGTGTGCGTACGAGCCAAATGATGCTGAGTCACCATGTGACCAAGTCAACGCACATGTAAAAATAATGTAATTTAAATGTTTTAAAATTGAAGTCCTTGTCGTCAATCAATGTAAGGTCAAAAAAAGTAATCAGTCAATCTCATTAATTAATTGAACTTTACTGATTAAATGGTAACGAATATATCCCATTTTATTCCTATTTATAACTAATTGCATTCAAACTCGCAAATTAAAAAATATATTAGATTCATAGTATGTTTTTATATTTGTTTTTATTAAAGAAAGGATATTAAAAATATGTTTCATATTTTTTCTCACATTTTTTTGAGCTGATCTCACATCTATTTATTTTATCTCTCTCTTTGCACTTATTAACCCAATAGGAATAAAATTGAAAAAAGCTCATTAATTATCCTATCCATAATAACCTATACTTGGGAACAATTTTTTCCCTTACAAGTAACTTATGAATAAGAATAAAATAGTAGCTAACTGTCTTCTTTTTTTTTTGATAATTACGTTAAGGGGGTGTTTGGATTACTGGAAAAATACTTTTAAAAACCACTTTTTTTTAAATCGAGACAAATTCCTTTATATATTTACTTTGTATATCATAAAAACACTTTTAAAACTATCTATATTATGAACCAAAGGAAGTATGGTGAAGATCATCACCATTATCACCTGCAAGAAGGATATCTTGTTTCAAACACTAAAGAAACAGGATAGAAATTACATGGTCATAGACTGTGTTGGAGGATCGCCACGGGAGATGAAGATGCTGATCCGAGTGTTATTATAATTCCTCTTCACAGCTCTGTTCTGGTCTCATATTCTCGCTTCTTATGCTATTCACTTCCTTGCTGGTTATGACAATGACTTTGCTTGCTTGTGCCGATGGTGCTCTCCTCCAAGAAGAAACATAGATCGGAGGCGGTTGTGGAGGCGGATGTGGGCTGTGGCGGAGGCTGCGGTGGTTAAGAATTTTATGGTAGCTGATCGATTACATCATCTGAATATTGTTGAACTCAATGCACATATTTTGCCTGTTTAATTTGCAGCTGTTTTTACTTTTTTTTTTTTTTAACATACGGATGTATGTATATGAATATCTCTGTTAACAAAAATTTAAATTTTAATTCACATGATGAGAGATTAGTTTTTTTAACTAGACGGACAAAATGACTTAAATTTATGATGACAAATTCCCTCCAAGTTTCTCTGTCTTTGTTTCTCCATGCTCCTCTCTCTCTGTTTTTTTTCTTTTTTGGTGATCAGAGTGGCACCAAGGCCCATGAAACCCGTTACATCAGACAGAAACCAAACAGTACAAAACTACAGAAGACCCAGATCGAAAAATAAAAAGCCTATATATAAGCTGTTGGTTTTAAAGCAATCCACAACTCAGAACTCTTACCGGAGATGGTGACAATGATACACACGCACACACACTCCATATTACTGTATATGCATGTGTAATTGTTTTCATTTAGCTTAAGTAAATAGGATTTATATCAAAAATCTCAGTCCATAGACAAAATCGGGTGAATCAACATGGGACCAACTCTGAGAAGGAATATCCATACAAGTGTAATTTGAATTACCGCTCTAAACTTAGAGGACGCATGAGCAATCAATGTCATTGATTGCGCTGACCCATCGACAAAAATAAAGTAGATATGGAGCACCAGCAATATATATATATATGTATCTACTATCTCCGGTCCTGATTATAAGAGCCAATTGACTAATTTGAGGAGATTAAGGAAATAAGTTGAGTTAGTTATTTGTCTTAAATAGGTGTTGTCTTTTCTAAAATATCCTTGCTAATCAAGTATATTGTTTAGAACTATAATTATTAGAAGGACTATCTTGAAAAAAATTGAATAAATATGAGAGACAAAGTGGATTTGGGTATTATATTTAGGACCAAAATAAAAGTCAAACAGGGTCTTATATTAAGGACCGGAGGTAGTATATATGTAATGTTCCCTTCAACCATCTCTTGTTTTTGATTAGATCCCAAAAGAAACAGGGATAGAAAGAGAGCGGCGGTCATAAATCAAAATGGGTTTTTCTATTGTGAAGTATGGCGGTGGCATATTGTTGATCCTTATAGTGCCATTCGGTTTCTTGGTGATCGCCAAACTGGTTTCTTGTTCTGCTAACAAGAAAGAAGATCAGAGAGGAAAGGACGTGACGGCGGCGGCCGCGGCTGTGGATCTTGCAGCGGTGAAACACTCGTCCGAACGACGTACTCGATCAACGCTTATTGCCTACTCGCTCTTTTTTTTTTTTTTTTGTCTCTCTTTTACCGCTGTGTTGACATTAACTGTGTGTGTACTATGTAACTTGGATACATACATACATATATTAAGAAAATCAGTTTTTATTGAATGGTCACAGATTGTGTTGGAGAAGATGGCGAGAGAAATGGCTATGGGAGATGAAGATGGTGATTTGAGTAATATTATTACATGGCTCTGGTCTCATATTCTCGCTTCTTATTATGCCATTCACTTCCTTGCTGGTTATGACAATGGTTTTGCTTGCTTGTGCCGATGATGCTTGTCGAGACTCCACCAAAAGAAAGATAGAAGAGGCTGTTTTGGAGGCGGCGGCGACGGCGGCGGTGGATGTGCTTGATATGGTGTTGTTTGCTGGCTCATGAACATAAATGGTGGTGGTAGACTAGTAGTTGCATGGTCGGGGATTTTATGGTAACCATTCGATCATCATCTGAATATTGCTGTACTTGATGCATATATAGATATTATATTATTGCCTATTTAATTTCTTATTGTTTTTTTTTTTTGCTGTGTAAGCATTGGAGATATTTTGAAAATTGTAGTTAGATTTGTGAATAATATTAGAGTTTCTTTGTTCTAAAAAAGAACGAGAATTTTTTTGGATTTGCTCCGCAATTGAGACCAAGTGACTTAATTAATGACAAATTTCCTCAAATGTTTTCCCCTGGTCCACAGGAATCATCTTATTGGTGACAACTATGTTAAGGTACTCTGAAATACTAAACGAGGTATCTTTCTCAGTAAAAACTCAAATTTTGGTTTACTGTATCGTAAGACCCGACCACTTTCGCAATACCATCTTTCATTATTGTAATTACATGAGACAGAAACTAAACAAAAAACCAAGAAAACAATAAAGTACGAAACCAAACAACACTACGGAAGACCAGATCGAAAAGCATCTCAAACCCTCCTCCATCCTCAGCCATTTGAAAGAGCTTATAGATGCTGCTCCTTTCAAGCTAATGGTGACAAAACTCGCTGTTGTACAAGATTGATATATACTATATATGTTGCTATATACGCATGTATAGTTGTTTTCATTTAGATTAAGTAAAATAGAATTTATATGCAAAATCTCTTTGCATGGACAAAATCGGGTGAATCAGCATGGCACCAAGTTAGAGAAGGAATATCCACATACATGTAATTTGAATTAATGCTCTAAACCTGAAGTGTATTTGAATTAATGCTCTAAACCTGAAGTGTATTTGAATTAATGCTCTAAACCTGAAGTGAAGACATTTAAGCAATCAAAGTCATTGATTATGCTATGACCAATCGACAAAAACAATTATATATGGATCGCCACTATATTTAAAATGTTCCTTTCAACCATCTCTTCCAAAAGAAGCCTGTGACCATAAGTTGGCATTAATTGTGCGGGGTCAACTGTTTGATTGGATATATATACACACAAACATATAAAGAAAATCAGTTTTTTGCAGACAGAAGAAATGAGGATGTTTTCATATATATGCTCATTACCGTCAAGAGTTTTAGGCTTTTAGCTCACACGTCACCCCACAGGTAATACTAGTTTACACAAATCTTCTGAGTTTTCCTCATGTGTTGGCAAAGTTATTAATAGAGCTACGACAACTTTTTTCTTTCCTAAATTAAGTTCTCGTACGCTTCATTAATAAGCCCCACCATGTTTGCAAATATAACGTACATACCAAAAACTCATAAAATAAATCAGATTGTCTGGTCTCGAGGATGTCAGTATGCTCATATTGAAACCCTATATATGGCCTTCCAAGGAATGTATTTAAAATATCTCCCCTCCACTGTGCTATCTGTAATCTGATATATCAGAGTCAAATTCTGGCTGGGCCATTTTATTTTAAAATTAAGTGAACATGAGTTATTGGGATAACACACATTAAGATAATTGCAAGTGCTTTTTCGGGGAAAAAGATCTATTTTGATAAAATATTTCAAATAACTTGTTAAAATAAGCTTTTTTCAGTACATTCCTCTCGATTGTTTATAGCTTGAATTCTCTCAACAACTCCCTCGTTCTTCCAATAAATTTCTCAAATATCTACCCTAATTAAAATCATTATTTATAATCTTAAACAAACTGGCCCTCTGATCTAAGTACTCACCCTCATCACACACACACACATCCCTTCATTACCGTGTTAATGCAAATTTATATTTTTTTTAATGAAATAATGCAAATTTATATGTTGTTACAATGAAAGAGACAACATCGTATTGATTCCTCCATCATTTTTATTACCTGCAGGCCCAAGATTGTTCATGTCTGCAACATTATTGGCAGAATCTTGTGTTAAACATGACTTTAGAAAGCTGGGCGATTCCTTCTTCTCCTTCAAACTCTCTACTTGATGACCTTTCACTTCACCTGCTTCTGATAAATGATGATTCTGATATCTGATGAAATGTAGCGATGTCACATCTTTTTTATCATGATGATGAACCTGCGTTCCCAAAAACATCATGCATGTTCTTAGCTCATTTATAATCTATGCTACTCACAAATTCAATAATTTTAACCCATTACTGGTATAATACCATACTAACACAAGTTTAACGGGTGTGAATTAAAAAATAAAAGAATTTAAGGATAACGAGATTTAACCAGTAGCTAAGAAAATTTATACAATAGTCGACTAGATTAGCTTTATTTACTCATGTCCTTCCCCGGTGCTCAAACCTTGAGACAATTAGTTGCAGAAATCAATATCCTCGAATCAACTTGTCACTCCAAAAATAATTGTCTAGGCTATCTAATGATTGTACTACTTCAATATTGATTTTTGACGGAAAAAATATTTAATCACCTCTTTGGATTCTGCTAAAAAAATCAAGTATTTATAATGAACCTTATTCGTTCTTAATTATTATATAACGGCGTAGCTAATGAAGTGAAATAAAAAGTTTCAATACTTTCTTTAATCATTGAGCATTATCAATTATCATATATATGGATGAAAATTATTTAATTTTGAATGGAGTAATAATTCAAACCAAACTAATCTTGCCTCTAAACTATTATATTTACTCATGCATGTCCCAAGTGACTAAGAGAACAAAAGAAAGATATAAATAACATACTCGCTCATCGATACAACGTGTGACAACTCTAATATATAGCTTGAGCAGCAATTAATAGAATGATCATACAGATTTCCAAGCAGCAATATTTAATCGATCAAATCCTTTACCGGAACTTTGCATACATACTTATTTGGTCCTATTTATAAGGTAAAGAGAGAAGATTTTTTTGTCTTATTTATAGGATACTAAGAGAAATTTTTTGTATGGATATACAATTTTACTCTTCATTTATTATTGTGTTGACTTTGTTTACATGAGATATAATGTATATTAAATAGGATTAAAGTTGGAAAGTTGTTGAATTTTTAATGAGAGTTAATGAAGTTTATGGTTTTTCTTGGTTTACATAAAATATGTTAAAAGTAACTTATAAATAGGATAAGAGGAGTAAATATGAAACTAAGGTATTAGTGTTAATTACCTGGGAAGAGAAAATTGGGCTGCAGGAAGTGGGTTCGTGTTGAAGGTTACTCTTGATAAAGCAATTTGCGGCGTTCCGCGGACAATATTTGTCATCCCAATAAGGCTTTTCATTTCTTTCACGAGGAGGCCATTTCTTGTCTTCAAGAAATAGGTTTGGCCTATGAGGTCCATTTCTCATTCTAATATTAGCATCATCGTCGTTAACCTCAAATAATAGGGGACAACCTCCAATAATCTTCTTGTTCCTCTGAGTCATCATCGTTCTCTCTTTGCCATCCTCACACAACCCTAAGTCGTTGTTCCACCCTACTACTGATGAACTTGATCTTGTCCCTGCTGGTTGAAATCTACAAAAAAAAAAAAAAGGGATGTCATCTCCTTTAGGGAATCAAAAATCAATAGGGTTTTTTTTTTTGTAATTTACACAGTAACATCTAAACTTCTTTAATTTCAGGTGTTAAAAAGTATTCTTCTTTTATATTGTGGAGAGATATCTCGTAAAACTTCTTTTATAAGAGATTTTATCATAACTACTTAGCCCATTAAATATCGTCAGAAGAATAATTATGGTTTGAAAGGAATTTTTAACGATGCTTTTAATAACTAGGGACAACTCTTGTACTATTTAAGTTGAGTAACTAACTAAATTAGTACATGTAAAACAATAAAAAAAAAAAAGCCTTATACATAGGGACGGAGGGGATAATACTTTAAAACCCCAACCAAAATTTTTCATTTCCTACTAGCTAGCCAGCTATGTGTGATTGAGTTTTCATGTGCATATTACCTTGAAGAGCCATGAGATTTGAAGTCGAATATTGGCTTCATAACTAGGGGTGGTGTTGGTAGATAGCCATCAATCCCAAAGTGTCCTCCTTGATGAGCACTAAATCTTTCGTACATATCCAAAATGTGATCTCTCTGTCCTTGCAATAATGTTGCCCTATTTTGGGATAAAACTGGAATAAAATTTATAAATTAAAACCATGTCACACACACTATATAAGCCTTTGAACGTTCATGTAGCCCGATGTTCTACGAAAATAATGTTTTAGTTATATATATATATATATATATATATATATATATATATATATATATATAAATGAATGTACTAGAAACACAAGTCTGAAACTTTACCTTGGCCAGACTCATCAAGTTTCTTGCTTCGATACATCTGCAAATGGCTCTTAACATGCGCAATGCTAAGTCCTCTCACATTCATCAACTGTAAAACCAACTTGGGCGTTGCTTCTGTATCCATTCATCATTAACATCAAACAAGAACATGTCAGAAGGATCCACAGAAAATTCTTGTTTTTTTCATTAGTCATCAGTTCATCATGAAAACGAATTGACAAGTTTGGGATTCCAACTCTTCAGAAAATTGTCGAAGATTTTCAAACCAGAAACTGCTTCCCTTATCTTGGCAGTACAATTCTAAAACTAGCTTGAGATAAGATTGAGTTCAAGACAAAACCATAAATCGTGATCATATATAATTGAGAAAAGAGAAGTTGTTTGATTATTGTAAGAGACTTGTGATTAATTTCACTTACTTTCCTGTCCACCAAGCCTTTCTACAGCACGAACAAAAGCAAGATGGAGATCAGGAGTCCAACGAAGCCTTGGCATTTTGGATCTCACATATTGCCTTACACTACTTGTTGTTCTCTCTTTCACTTCTGAACTTGAGTTGTTGCTACTGACATTACCTTCTCCTGATAATGACGACGACGACGACAATCCTCCATTAATGTCACCACCAAGATCGTTCACAGCTTCTTCGTTCAAGTCAAACAACGCACCCTTTTGAAGAAGCAGAGAAGAAGAAAACAAGGAAGAGGAGGGTTTGTGTCTAACGTTGTTGTCGTTACTATATTCCTTGTTCTTTTCGTCCGATATGTAAATTGATCTCTCACTCTCAGCCATGTTGGTAATTAAAGCAATCTTCTGATGATATATTCCTTTTTCCTGCTGTATATATATGATGATGAAGTGAAGATCACAAGAAAAATCAAGTTTAATTAATTGATTCTATGTACTGATTGTACCATAAATTTATTCTTCCTAGGTCTTGGGAATTCCCACTCACCTATAACCTAGAAGAAATTGAAAATTATGCGTATGTATAGAAAGATCAACAAGAAAAATCAAGTTTAATTAATTGATTCTATGTACTGATTTTGTACCATAAATTTATTCTTCCTAGGTCTTGGGAATTCCACACTCACCTATAACCTAGAAGAAATTTGAAAATTATGCGTATGTATAGAAGACTATGCATCACCTAAAAGATACCTATCAATATATGGGAAAATGGTGCATGAATTTAGAGTACATGTAGAGGGAAAACCAAAAGTTGAAAGATTAAAGAAAAGCATGAACCACAAACTTATGTTTCAGGATGACGTCTCTGAAGCTAGCAAGAACAAATCAAAAGGCAATAAATATAAAAGAGTACATGTAGTGCTTTTTCAATTCAATCAACTGACTTAATTGCTATATATAAAATCGTTGCTCAAGCAGTGGCAAGATATACATATTTACAACAAAATATACGTTTGTTTGTGTGCATACCGATATTATTGAAGAGAAAAGCTTTCTCCAAGATAAGTAACTGATTCAAATGAAACCAGCTCGATCGATTGCAAGATCTAAGCGCAATATTGACTGGATTCGCTTATTTCATTGATAACTGCGAGAGGCCGACCGGAAAATCATCGTTTTGATATAAGCAAAAACCCTACATGCATAGAGAGAGAGAGAGAGAGAGAGAGAGAGAAGGTTTATTATTCTGTATCGGACAGGATTCTGTGTTGCATTATTAACAGGTGGGAGTAGCTAGCGTTTGAGTCAATTAATATGTTGAAATTTATTAATAAGAACTTCAAAAAATTGAAAATATCAAGTCACCCCTCATCAAAATATTCTTACACTTTAGGATATATATATAATATATATATCTATATACGATTTTACACGATTACGTTATCAATATGTTAAAAAATTTCCCGTAGATGTAGGGGACAACAGTCCATATACATACTACTTGTTATTATTTATTGATTTTTTTTGTTTGATTTGATGTATACTAGTATATATGAGCTAGCTGTAGCAGTTGCTAGTTTCTCCCCCTTCTTCGACCATTCAGTAAGAAATTCTGAAATTAAAATTATGATATCAAATACACATGCGCGTGTATATATATTAATATATATATATATTATCTATTTATTTATATATGTGTGACCTCTATATTGGACTATTGAAAATCATGTGACTTGATTAAACTTTCTCTCTCTTATTTTATGTTTTGGACAGGTTGTCTTGTCCTATATCTCCATGATAATCTCTTTTAGTTGACCTCTGTTTACTGACAGCCCCCATTTGTTTTAATTAATGTTGTTTGTGTTAAATAATAAAACCCGAATTAGCTTTACACACATATATATATGACCTCATGTATTGGTTGGTAGATATACATCAATCCGCAGGCATAATTGACTAATGGCAAGACACGTTTTGATTTCATTATTCCTTCCCATTCTTCTATTGTATTGTTTTGAATATATAAATATACCATATTGTACTTAGCTTTCTGGTGCTGGTACGCGATGATCCATCATGCTTCTGCGATTATAACATAACATCATTAAATTTCGTATTTTGTCTCCTATACCAATAATTAACCCTTTAATTTTTAGTTTTCCTGTTTTTGTTTTCTCTGGAAATTCTTGCTATTTGGTAGGATCATGAACATGCATGGGCAACAGTGTGTCTCTAAACTCTTGTAGCGAATAGCTAGCTAGGGCAGCAAAAACCAGGCTCCACATTCCCAGGCAGATAATAATCGCCTAATTAAACTTTAAAAATTCGTGTCAGTATGTTGTTTTAAACACGTAATAAAATATTATCTCCAGTATTTGATATAAAAGTTATTTGATTTTTATTTTAATCTTAGATATAAAATTCTAATATATTTTATATTTTATATTTATTTATCTATTTTAAGATAGTTCTTGTAATAATAATCATTATAATCAATATATTCAGTTACAAAGATATTTTAGGAAAGACAACACATATTTATTACAAATAATTAACTCAACAAACTTTCTTAATTTATTCAAATTAGTTAACTAACTCTTATATTAAAAATTAGAAGAAGTAGTATTTATTTATAATAATAAGTATTGTCTTTTCTAAAATATTCTTAATCAAGCATATTAACTATAATTACCATTTAATAAAACCTTTAACATATGTAGTACATTGGTAGGAACAACTTTCAGCATTCTAAGCCCATCAGATCTAGATTGTCCATATTTTATTTAGATGATCTAGATTTGTTTTTTTTTTATTTTTATTTGTTCAAGATAATTATTTTAATATGTATAGAATCTAAGATAAGATAATCTCTTAACTATAATTTTTTCAAAGAATCATTTTTTTATTTAAAAATAATTCATTAAAGATTTTAAATTTGGACTGTTCAAATAAGATATAAACGGTTTAAATCTAATGAGTTTAGGATGCTCACCAGGATAATCAACACTGAAAATTGTTCCTACATGGGTAATGACCTAGGAAATAAGCTTGTGCTTCCAGTAAGTAGTACTTCAACGTAATCCCTTATGACAACACAAAAAAAGGGGGAGTCGAAACAATTTGATTTGAGACTTTATCACAAATATTAAGATGATATTATGTTCTTATTAGAAAGAGGCTGACACTTGGCAATGAAAGAATATAGGGAGAATTACAATCAAGTCCCATAAAAAAAATAATTACCAAAAGATCCCAATAACAATCTCAACAGCCTATAATGACAAGTCTTGTAGTGAGAATAACAACCTTTAAGACTTATTTTTTAATTATTTTTCTTACTTGAAACCTTATTGTAATTCTCCCAAGAATATAAAAAAGAAAGAAAGAACAAAGGAGCTAAAGCTAAGATCGATGGTGACAGAAATTTATATAGCTTTCATTGTTCACTCGTTTGACTGGCAACCAACCTTCCGCCTTTTTTAATTATTCATGGTGGAATTTTAAGTTATACTTTTCGCCTCTATAATTTATGTTCATTTTCACCAACAATATAAAATAATTGGAAAAAAGTAGACTTTATAGGTAAGGAAGGTAGGTACGAAAGTATGAACAATATTAAAGTAAAAATGAGAATCTGTATTCTCCTATTTAATTTTCGCGAGAAATTTTAATCACATCACACTTGAACCTGATCACAGAGAGAGATATAGATGGATGAATTTGGAATTAAATAATTTTAGTAATTATTAAAAAATTCTCAATTACTCGGTCATGTATTGTACTATATATTGCATGACGAAATCTAAATGAGTTCTGTATACTGAAATATATGCAAACTACGCAATTACTTATGAGATAAATGCATAAATACTTTTATCATACTTATATATATACATATATTTTAATTAACTTAAGATATTTATAAATATCTCATATAATGAATTTTGTGCTTCTCGTTTTCAAACCCCCCCCACCCAACACACAAAGAAATAACTGGATGATAAGTAAAAAGTGAAAAGATAGAAGTCAAAGGAAGTGAAAACAATATATATGCGGTTCCTATTTAATTTTCGCGAGAAATTTTAATCACATCACACTTGAACCTGATCACAGAGAGAGATATAGATGGATGAATTTGGAATTAAATATTTTAGTAATTATTAAAAAATTCTCAATTACTCGGTCATGTATTGTACTATATATTGCATGACGAAATCTAAATGAGTTCTGTATACTGAAATATATGCAAAACTACGCAATTACTTATGAGATAAATGCATAAATACTTTTATCATACTTATATATAACATATATATTCTTAATTAACTTAAGATATTTATAATATCTCATATAATGAATTTTTGTGCTTCTCGTTTTCCAACCCCCCCCCACCAACACACAAAGAATAACTGGATGATAAGTAAAAAGTGAAAGATAGAAGTCAAGGAAGTGAAAACAATATATATGCGGTAAACTAATAAGACAGTCTTTTATAGTTGTCTCTTATGTATTTGATGTTCCCCACACTGTCTCATTTTGAGATCGCTTTTCTCTTACTATAGAAGGATTTACTTTTGTGGCCTATATATAATATATATTATAAAATACAGGGAATTGAAAAATTCGTGTATGACATCATAGGATTATATAATTTAATGTGCTGTGTATTATGTAATTTAATTGACAGGTAGATGATGATCGAGTCCCAGAGAGGAATCATTTTTCAAGGATTAGGGTTGGGGCTAAGTGACACCCAAATTTGACTATGGATTTGAGTGATGCGCACATTTAAATATGTGAGGGATGTAAATGAGGACAAATATTCGAAGGATTAAAGAAAGAGATTGGCTTATGGGAATTAGGAATATGAGAAATTTAGGAATAGAGAATTGTGTGTGAAAGTTCTACGTAAAACGTTGGTGTTTGTCATCTTTTGTGCATGTGGCCAGAGTTGACACGTACGTCAATATTTTTTAACAACATTGCACAGACCCAGATCAAAGAATCTTAGCTCAGATTACGCCTTTAATTATTATTATTTATAATCAAGCTTAACTTTTCTTTTGCTGGTTGCCAAAGGTCCACAGTTCATACACACAAACACATGCATGAGATTTATTATGATAAATATAATTTAATCTTAATTGAATTAGGTGTTGGAACAACGTACTAATATAATTTATATATGTCATTGGGAATTAATTTGATGACTGCGATAGGTCGGGTTTTTAAAAAATCCATTAATTTATAATTATTATTGCAGATTCATGAATCAGCCATCATATATCTGCCTGCTGAGTTAGATTATTCCCCCACAAACACTATGTGACGATGAGTAACACCTAATAATAAGTCGCTTGGCTTATCACTTAAAAGAATTG